TCACTCGTGCGTTGTGTCTCACTCGTGCGTTGTGTCTCACTCGTGCGTTGTGTCTCACTCGTGCGTTGTGTCTCACTCGTGGCGTTGTGTCTCACTCGTGCGTTGTGTCTCACTCGTGCGTTGTGTCTCACTCGTGCGTTGTGTCTCACTCGTGCGTTGTGTCTCACTCGTGCGTTGTGTCTCACTCGTGCGTTGTGTCTCACTCGTGCGTTGTGTCTCACTCGTGCGTTGTGTCTCACTCGTGCGTTGTGTCTCACTCGTGCGTTGTGTCTCACTCGTGCGTTTGTGTCTCACTCGTGCGTTGTGTCTCACTCGTGCGTTGTGTCTCACTCGTGCGTTGTGTCTCACTCGTGCGTTGTGTCTCACTCGTGCGTTGTGTCTCACTCGTGCGTTGTGTCTCACTCGTGCGTTGTGTCTCACTCGTGCGTTGTGTCTCAACTCGGTGCGTTGTGTTCTCACTCGGTGGCGTTGTGTCTCACTCGTGCGTTGTGTCTCACTCGTTGCGTTGTGTCTCACTCGTGCGTTGTGTCTCACTCGTGCGTTGTGTCTCACTCGTGCGTTGTGTCTCACTCGTGCGTTGTGTCTCACTCGTGCGTTGTGTCTCCTCGTGCGTTGTGTCGCACTCGTGCGTTGGTGTCTCACTCGTGCGTTGTGTCTCACTCGTGCGTTGTGTCTCACTCGTGCGTTGTGTCTCACTCGTGCGTTGTGTCTCACTCGTGCGTTGTGTCCTCCCCTCGTGCGTCTGTGTCTCACTCGTGCGTTTGTGTCTCCACTCGTGCGTTGTGTCTCACTGTGCGTTGTGTCTCACTCGTGCATTGTGTCTCACTCGTGCGTTGTGTCTCACTCGTTGCAGTTGTGTCTCACTCGTGCGTTGTGTCTCACTCGTGCGTTGTGTCTCACTCGTGCGTTGTGTCTCCACTCGTGCGTTGTGTCTCACTCGTGCGTTGTGTCTCACTCGTGCGTTGTGTCTCACTCGTGCGTTGTGTCTCACTCGTGCGTTGTGTCTCACTCGTGCGTTGTGTCTCACTCGTGCGTTTGTCTCACTCGTGCGTTGTGTCTCACTCGTGCGTTGTGTCTCACTCGTGCGTTGTGTCTCACTCGTGCGTTGTGTCTCACTCGTAGCGTTTGTGTCTCACTCGTGCTTTGTGTCTCCTCGTGCGTTGTGTCTCACTCGTGCGTTGTGTCTCACTCGTGCGTTGTGTCTCACTCGTGTCGTTGTGTCTCACATCGTGGCTTGTGTCTCACTCGTGCGTTGTGTCTCAACTCGTGCGTTGTGTCTCACTCGTGCGTTGTGTCTCACTCGTGCGTGTGTCTCACTCTGCGTTTGTGTCTCACTCGTGCGTTGTGTCTCACTCGTAGCGTTGTGTCTCACTCGTGCGTGTGTCTCTACTCGTGCGTTGTGTCTCACTCGTGCGTTGTGTCTCACTCGTATGCGTTGTGTCTCACTCGTGCGTTGTGTCTCACTCGTGCGTTGTGTCTCACTCGTGCGTTGTGTCTCACTCGTGCGTTGTGTCTCACTCGTGCGTTGTGTCTCACTCGTGCGTTGTGTCTCACTCGTCCGTTGTGTCTCACTCGTGCGTTGTGTCTCACTCGTGCGTTGTGTCTCACTCGTGCGTTTGTGTCTCACTCGTGGCGTTGTGGTCTCACTCGTAGCGTTGTGTCTCACTCGTGCGTTGTGTCTCACTCGTGCGTTGTGTCTCACTCGTGCGTTGTGTCTCACTCGTGCGTTGTGTCTCACTCGTGCGTTGTGTCTCACTCGTGCGTTGTGTCTCACTCGTGCGTTGTGTCTCACTCGTGCGTTGTGTCTCACTCGTGCGTTGTGTCTCACTCGTGCGTTGTGTCTCACTCGTGCGTTGTGTCTCACTCGTGCGTTGTGTCTCACTCGTGCGTTGTGTCTCACTCGTGCGTTGTGTCTCACTCGTGCGTGTGTCTCACTCGTGCGTTGTGTCTCACTCGTGCGTTGTGTCTCACTCGTGCGTTGTGTCTCACTCGTGCGTTGTGTCTCACTCGTGCGTTGTGTCTCACTCGTGCGTTGTGTCTCACTCGTGCGTTGTGTCTCACTCGTGCGTTGTGTCTCACTCGTGCGTTGTGTCTCACTCGTGCGTTGTGTCTCACTCGTGCGTTGTGTCTCACTCGTGCGTTGTGTCTCACTCGTGCGTTGTGTCTCACTCGTGCGTTGGTGTCTCACTCGTGCGTTGTGTCTCACTCGTAGCGTTGTGTCTCACTCGTGCGTTGTGGTCTCACTCGTGCGTTGTGTCTCACTCGTGCGTTGTGTCTCACTCGTGCGTTGTGTCTCACTCGTGCGTTGTGTCTCACTCGTGCGTTGTGTCTCACTCGTGCGTTGTCTCACTCGTGCGTTGTGTCTCACTCGTGCGTTGTGTCTCACTCGTGCGTTTGTCTCACTCGTGCGTTGTGTCTCACTCGTGCGTTGTGTCTCACTCGTGCGTTGTGTCCTCACTCGTGCCGTTGTGTCTCACTCGTGCGTTGTGTCTCACTCGTGCGTTGTGTCTCACTCGTGCGTTGTGTCTCACTCGTGCGTTGTGTCTCACTCGTGCTTGTGTCTCACTCGTGCGTTGTGTCTCACTCGTGCGTTGTGTCTCACTCGTGCGTTGTGTCTCACTCGTGCGTTGTGTCTCACTCGTGCGTTGTGTCTCCCTCGTGCGTTGTGTCTCACTCGTGCGTTGTGTCTCACTCGTGCGTTGTGTCTCACTCGTGCGTTGTGTCTCACTCGTGCGTTGTGTCTCACTCGTGCGTTGTGTCTCACTCGTGCGTTGTGTCTCACTCGTGCGTTGTGTCTCACTCGTGCGTTGTGTCTCACTCGTGCGTTGTGTCTCACTCGTGCGTTGTGTCTCACTCGTGCGTTGTGTCTCACTCGTGCGTTGTGTCTCACTCGTGCGTTGTGTCTCACTCGTGCGTTGTGTCTCACTCGTGCGTTGTGTCTCACTCGTGCGTTGTGTCTCACTCGTGCGTTGTGTCTCACTCGTGCGTTGTGTCTCACTCGTGCGTTGTGTCTCACTCGTGCGTTGTGTCTCACTCGTGCGTTGTGTCTCACTCGTGCGTTGTGTCTCACTCGTGCGTTGTGTCTCACTCGTGCGTTGTGTCTCACTCGTGCGTTGTGTCTCACTCGTGCGTTGTGTCTCACTCGTGCGTTGTCTCACTCGTGCGTTGTGTCTCACTCGTGCGTTGTGTCTCACTCGTGCGTTGTGTCTCACTCGTGCGTTGTGTCCTCACTCGTGCGTTGTGTCTCACTCGTGCGTTGTGTCTCACTCGTGCGTTGTGTCTCACTCGTGCGTTGTGTCTCACTCATGCGTTGTGTCTCACTCGTGCGTTGTGTCTCACTCGTGCGTTGTGTCTCACTCGTGCGTTGTGTCTCACTCGTGCGTTGTGTCTCACTCGTGCGTTGTGTCTCACTCGTGCGTTGTGTCTCACTCGTGCGTTGTGTCTCACTCGTGCGTTGTGTCTCACTCGTGCGTTGTGTCTCACTCGTGCGTTGTGTCTCACTCGTGCGTTGTGTCTCACTCGTGCGTTGTGTCTCACTCGTGCGTTGTGTCTCACTCGTGCGTTGTGTCTCACTCGTGCGTTGTGTCTCACTCGTGCGTTGTGTCTCACTCGTGCGTTGTGTCTCACTCGTGCGTTGTGTCTCACTCGTGCGTTGTGTCTCACTCGTGCGTTGTGTCTCACTCGTGCGTTGTGTCTCACTCGTGCGTTGTGTCTCACTCGTGCGTTGTGTCTCACTCGTGCGTTGTGTCTCACTCGTGCGTTGTGTCTCACTCGTGCGTTGTGTCTCACTCGTGCGTTGTGTCGCACTCGTGTTGTCTCACTCGTGCGTTGTGTCTCACTCGTGCGTTGGTGTCTCACTCGTGCGTTGTGTCTCACTCGTGCGTGTGTCTCACTCGTGCGTTGTGTCTCACTCGTGCGTTGTGTCTCACTCGTGCGTTGTCTCACTCGTGCGTTGTGTCTCACTCGTGCGTTGTGTCTCACTCGTGCGTTGTGTCTCACTCGTGCGTTGTGTCTCACTCGTGCGTTGTGTCTCACTCGTGCGTTGTGTCTCACTCGTGCGTTGTGTCTCACTCGTGCGTTGTGTCTCACTCGTGCGTTGTGTCTCACTCGTGCGTTGTGTCTCACTCGTGCGTTGTGTCTCACTCGTGCGTTGGTCTCACTCGTGCGTTGTCTCACTCGTGCGTTGTGTCTCACTCGTGCGTTGTGTCTCACTCGTGCGTTGTGTCTCACTCGTGCGTTGTGTCTCACTCGTGCATTGTGTCTCACTCGTGCGTTGTGTCTCACTCGTGCATTGTGTCTCACTCGTGCGTTGTGTCTCACTTGTGCGTTGTGTCTCACTCGTGCGTTGTGTCTCACTCATGTGTTGTGTCTCACTCGTGCAGGGTGTTGCGTGGGATGAAAGAGGCAGCTGGCTGAGGAGAAGAGAGGGGAGTTGAGGGGAGGGGAGGGGAGGGAGGGGATGGTTGGTTTGGTGTCTAAGGAACCCAAAGAGGGGTCTGTGCAAGCAGATGGGCGTGGGCATGGGGAGGCAGTGGGCATGGGGAGGCAGTGGGCATGGGGAGGCAGTGGGCCTAGGGAGGCATGTGATTGTATGACACTGAATTGCTGGATTCAGGACTCAAGAGGGCTCAAGAGGGCTCATATCCATGGATCAAAAGGGGGGAGATGGGGGAAAAGGGGAAAAGGGTGCCATTTTAAAGGCGCCGCGCTTCAATAATAGTTTCAATTGAGCTGATACCCATGGATCAGAGGGAAGAAGGTGTGGGGGGGACGGGTGAAGGGTGCGGACGGAAACGAGAGCTTGCTTGCCTGAACCTAGACTCATGCTTCATGCCAGGATGCTTCGAACGACGGAGAAGACTTTTGAGTCGACTCAAAAATCAAGGAGGAGCTTGCTTGCCTGAACCTAGACTCATGCTTCATGCCAGGATGCTTCGAACGACGGAGAACGAGGGGAGAAAGTGGAAGGAGGGGGCGTGGTGGAAAGGAGTCGTACGTACCGGTAGAGTGAGACATAGACAAGGTCTGTGGGCCACCACATGTGTGCCGGCTCCTGATGAGAAATCATGAGGATGATGAGTTAAGAGGGGGAAGAGGGGAGGGTGGGAAGCAGGGGCGAGAGGGGAGGGGGGGAGAGGGGAGGGTGGGAAGCAGGGGCGAGAGGGGAGGGTGGGAAGCAGGGGGGAGAGGGGAGGGTGGGAAGCAGGGGCGAGAGGGGAGGGTGGGAAGCAGGGGGGAGAGGGGAGGGTGGGAAGCAGGGGCGAGAGGGGAGGGTGGGAAGCAGGGGGGAGAGGGGAGGGTGGGAAGCAGGGGGCAGAGGGGAGGGTGGGAAGCAGGGGCGAGAGGGGAGGGTGGGAAGCAGGGGGGAGAGGGGAGGGTGGGAAGCAGGGGGGAGAGGGGAGGGTGGGGAGCAGGGGGGAGAGGGGAGGGTGGGAAGCAGGGGGGAGAGGGGAGGGTGGGGAGCAGGGGGGAGAGGGGAGGGTGGGAAGCAGGGGGCAGAGGGGAGGGTGGGAAGCAGGGGGGAGAGGGGAGGGTGGGAAGCAGGGGGGAGAGGGGAGGGTGGGAAGCAGGGGGGAGAGGGGAGGGTGGGGAGCAGGGGGGAGAGGGGAGGGTGGGAAGCAGGGGGCAGAGGGGAGGGTGGGAAGCAGGGGGGAGAGGGGAGGGTGGGAAGCAGGGGGGAGAGGGGAGGGTGGGAAGCAGGGGAGAGAGAGGGCATGAGTAATGGGAGACGTAGACGAGGTCTGGTGGCCACCACATGTGCGCCGGCTCCTGATGAGCGGCAGTGGGGGACGGTTTGGGGACAGACGGGACGGGCAAGGGAGGGTGGGAAGCAGGGAAAGGGGAGGAGGGGAAAGGAGTGGGGAGTAGGGAGAGGGGAGGAGGGGGGAAGAGTGGGGAGGAGGGTTCGGTAATGACAGATGTAGACCAGGTGTGTGGGCCACCACATGTGGGCTGGCTCTTGATGAGGGGCAGTGGGGCCGATGGGGGGCAATGGGGGGAGAGGAGGGGCAAGGGCGGGTGGAAAACAGGGAGAGGAGAGGAGGGGGGAGGAGGAGGGGCGTTGGTAGTGAGTGATATAGACGGAGGGTCACCACATGTGGCTCCTGACGCGGGGCAATGAGGCACAGCCGGGGGCGATGGTGGGAGAGGAGGGGCAGGGGAAGGGTGGAGATTGAGAAAGGGAGGGGGGGGAGGAGCGGGGGGGTGTGGGGGGAGCGGGGGGGGGTGGGTTGCATCGGTGATGAGAGATGCGGTAATGGGGAGGGGCGAGGTGGGGAAAGGGCAAGGGCAACTAAGAGTGAAGATTGAAAGGAGAGGGAAAATGAGTGACTACTATCGGTGGGTGGGTGGGTGGGTAGGAGCGACAGAGGAGGTGGGCATGATGAGATGATGGGGCGGCTGGGAAGGCAGAGGAGTGGCTGAGAGTGTGAGAATGCCCATCCGTATGCACGCCCGCCCCGCCCATCCACTTCCCTGCCCGCCCATCCACTTCCCTGCCCGCCCATCCACTTCCCTGCCCACCCATCCACTTCCCTGCCCGCCCATCGTACCCAGGCCCGCCAATCTCACCACGAGGTACCGTCTGAACATGCCCGCCCACCCGTATCCAAGCACTTGCGTTGTGGTGACGAGCAGAAAGGCCGGGAAGAAGGCCAAATGCTGGTAGGGCGAGGGGGGGAGTGGAAGAGAGAGAGAGAGAGGAGGGGAGGGCGGGAGGTTGGGAAGAGAAAGAGCGGTCACGGGGGCAGATGAAGCGGGATGAGAAAGGCGAGTTGGGAAAGTGAGGAGTACGTAGAAGGGAGTTGGAGGGAAGGCATGTGAGGAAGGAAGGGATGGGCAGTCGTGATCACTCGTGGTTGGAAGGGCAGCAATGAGAAGGATTTTGATTGGGCAAGAAAGAAGAGTGTATATGACTACCGTTGGTCCGTTGCTAAGAAAATCGGGAAGAAATGGATTGAAGAACATGCACACAGAAGGGTGGCGGCACATGAACATGCACACAGAAGGGTGGCGGCACATGAACATGCACACAGAAGGGTGGCGGCACATGAACATGCACACAGAAGGGTGGCGGCACATGAACATGCACACAGAAGGGTGGCGGCACATGAACATGCACACAGAAGGGTGGCGGCACATGGACATGCACACAGAAGGGTGGCGGCACATGAACATGCACACAGAAGGGTGGCGGCACATGAACATGCACACAGAAGGGTGGCGGCACATGAACATGCACACAGAAGGGTGCAGTGCAGAGAAGCGAGGTGGAAGCAGAGAGACATGGGGGTGGGTTGCAATGGAGGTATGGGGTAATGGGGGCGTGGGGGCAGGAGGGCGTGGGGGCAGGAGGGCGTGGGGGCAGGAGGGCGTGGGGGCAGGAGGGCAGGAGGCACTCACAACGTCGTAGAATTGCTTCATGATGGTCACGATGTCAATGGCATACGCATTGCCGTTGCCAAAGGCTGAACCGCAGTTGGCGAAAATGCCGATCAGCACATGCTCCTGTGGGGGGCAGTGGACGGGAAGCAGCATCATGCAGCATGCCCACACGCACGCACGCACCCCCCCCCTCCCTCCCCCCGCATCTCCTCTCTCCTTTCCCCCCCATCTCCCCCCCCCCTCCCCCCCACCACCTCCCCCCCCCCTCCCCCCCCACCTCCCCCCCACCTCCCCCCACCTCCCCCACACCTCCCCCCTCCTCCCCCCCACCTCTCCCCTCCCCCACACACACATGCAGGTCACACATAATGCTGCTGAAGCGCAATGCACTTTGGTGTGGTGCTTGGAGGCTGCCTGGATGGAGCCTGGTGATGCCTTCCTTCCTTGTACATGCACACCACTTCATCCCACAGCTGCACTACTGCATGTGCATGTGCATGTGCATGTGCATGTGCATGTGTATCTGCATGTGTATGTGCATGTGTATGTGCATGTGTATGTGCATGTGCATGTTTATGTGTGCGATTTGAGAGTCAATCGCACTGCATGTGCATGTGTGCGCGTCCATGCATAATCCACCTGCCCGCCCGCCCATACCGACTGGCACTGGCCCATGCATGCAGCCGCACCTCCTTTCAGGGACCCACCTACCTACGCCAGGCTCTTGCAGCATCATCGTCATGTCATGGCACGTCACAACAGCCCACGCCCATGCAATCTTCTGGAATTCTCAAACGTGACACAAACTCTTGCACCAGCTGGGCACGCATATATCACCTTGACACTGAAGGGGAGAGCATCGGGGTTGAAGCGAGGCGACTAGTCGACTCAAAACTCACCTCTTTGAGCATGTGCGCTTGCACTAGATTGGTTGGCATGTAATCGTCTCGTTACCTTGACGCTGAAGGGGAGTGCATCGGGGTTGAAGCGGCGCTCTATCCTCGCTAAGAGGCGACCCATGTAGAGAGATAGGATGATAGCAGCGATGGGGTTGATGATGATGGACTGGGTCCTGTGGTGCATGATACGCACATGCACATGCACATGCACATCAACAGGGACATGCACATGAACACGCACACGCACATGCACAGGTACACGCATGGGCACACACACACAGACACACACGGGTTACAGGCATCGTCCGCATGAAAAGCATGGCACGAGCATTCCGGTAATACTCACCATTCACCGAGGTGAAGGGGGCAGTGACTGGAAAGCAAGAACGCACGGAGGAGGGCGGTGGTGGGCATGGGAGAGACCCATGGGTTGCCCGTGCATCGGGCGTTCACAGCATACGGGCATGATACATGGAGAAGGTGGCATGCAATGCATGGGCATCGGGCAATGCGGGTTCTGAAACTGCTGTTCACGACGTGCAGTGACTGGAGTGGAAAGGAAACCAGCTGAGGACTTGGACGAGATTGCATGCATGCTGGCTGGGCTCGGGGTGTGTATACATGCTGCTGGGCCCACCGAAACCAGGAGCACTGCTTTGCATGAAGCTTCTCTTTTACGACTTGGTTTGTCCAGGCGCGCACCTGAAGCAACCCGCACCTGAAGCAGCCCCCACCTGAAGCCGCGCCCACCTGAAGCAGCCCGCACCTGAACCAGAAATATTGGTTGATGAAGGCGAGCAGCGCGCACACGATACTGCCAATGATTACGACGCGCCACGTCAGGCACGGCAGCGACGGGTCGTCAAACGTCGCCACCGTCAGTGCGACCTCCTCCACGGGCGACTGATCGTCGCACTCCTCCTCGTCCTCCTCCTCCTCATCCTCCTCTCCGTCTTCCTCCTCCTCTTCCTCGTCGTCCTCTGCGTCCTCTTCTCCGTCTCCGTCTTCGTCATCGTCCTCCTTCCCGTCTTCCTCTTCCTCCTCGTCTTCCTTGCCTCCGTCGCCGTCTAATTTTCCGTCAGCATTTTCGTACTCCGCTTCCTCCCCGTCCGCCTCTTTCCCGTCCGCGTATTCCTCCCCTCCGTCCTCTCCTCCTCCACCTTCGTCCTCTCCCGACGCCGCGTCCAACCCTCCTGCCTGCTCTACCTCCCCCGAATCGTTCCTCTCCGGCTCGTTTCTCCCATCCTCCTCCCCCTCCTCGCTCCGGTTCCCGTTCCCCGCTGTTCTCTCGCCTCCCTTCTTTTCCCCGCCATTTGCCACCATTGGAAACAAACGTCAAACCGGCGAAAACAGCGAGATAAGGACTTAGTGTAACATTGGGTTACGAGGGAGCTCTGTAGTTGACTTGGCCAGTCTAGACATGGATGTGGAAGTGGGGTATTACGCGGCGACTGGCACAAAGTGGCTGGCTAGTCTCGTCGGATCTGGTTTCATTAGGCGCTACGACACTTCGTAAGGATCACATTCCTTGCACGCTGGGTTAAAGCTGGTTCTGTAAGTTGCAGAGAGAATACGGACGGTTACAGATCGGTGGTGAATATATATTGGGTGCTCGAACCCTAATCTGGGTACAGTAGTCACTCAGGTTTCTAGTCGCGATGTCACTGGGAATAGCCGCCTCCTAGTAGGCACGTTTGTCGCTTCTGAGTCCCTATTTGTTTTACCGAGATTCGAAACACCTACATGAGCAAAATCGTCATGTGCATTACAGTCGATATGAAAAATGAATAAAAAGGGGTAATCTACATAGAAATTTAAACAAATATATTATTCTGGTTGGCGTTTAGTAGTACATAATGTGTTTCTGTTTTCCATGCTCTGGAGATAATTATATACTGTATGCTTGTTTGGTAGTGGAATGAATTAGAATTCAAGACCTTCGCTCCTTCATGCATCTGCGTCCTCACCTCAGAGGCCTCTATGAAAGTGCATTGCATATCTCAGCAGCAAAGCAGAACCTATGATTCAAAACGCTAAACTTGGGAGGACCCTGCGTTTTCTCAACCAGTCCTATCCCAACTCTTCTAAGTCATGCTAATTGGCTTTTTTTTTTTACATTCCAAGTGTGCGTGATGATTTGAATGCCCCTTACGCATCACCAACCACATAATTCCTTGATTATTCTTCATGTGCACTCAGCCTGCTAATGCTCTCGGCGGAACGGCACCTTGGTGTGCTCCCTCGCTGCATTTCTCTTCCTCTTCTTCGCCATAAATGAGTCGAGCTTGCCGCCCGCCTGCAACACACACACACACAAGAAAAAGGCGAGGGACGAAGATATTAAAGGAGGTTGGAAACAACCAGTTTGGCTACGGAGAGACATAAGACCGTGGAAGCGACGCTCATTTAATGATCCCAGAGCAGAAAGTAATGCCAATGGAAAAAAACAAACAAAAACAAAAACAGCAGCATTGTTTATCGTTTGTGAGAAGGTTCCTTTGAGTTGTTCAGTACAACCCCAACCACATGCTTTGTGTGCTGTACTGAGCACGTGATGGATGTCAACGGGCGCACCTTGAGCTCTTGGTACTTCTCGTACAGCTCTTCACGCCGGCGAGATGCTGCAGAGAAACATTACACCACATGACCACACAGCACCCGCACCGCACCACACCGCACACAATGCCGGATGCCAGAGCAAGTCGAAAGGGGATGCCAGCGCAAGTCGAAAGGGGATGCGAGGCAAGCAAAGACAAGAGGGGTGTTGGGGTCGGGGGTAGAGGAGGGCGTGTTGTTAGAGGTAGGGCGCAGGGTGGGTGGGCTGGAGCAGGGAGGGGAGGTGGGATGGCTATCAAGGGAGGAGGGCCGTGTGGCGTGAGCTGTGGGGGGTGTGAGCTAATGAGAGGGTCGTCGAGGGAGGTGGAATTTAGTTCTTCGCACGCCACTCTGCTCACTGGAAGCTTAGGGTCAGCAATGCATGTCCGATGGGAGCACAGTGTTGAATTGCTGGGATGATTGATGTGATGCATGGGTACGGGCAAGCACATGGCGCCCTCCCCCCGGCCACACTCTCTCGCCCACAAACACACAAGTACACAAGAAAACGAGCACAGAAAAACACAAGCACACAAAAAACGAGAAAACGAGCAGAGAAAAACACAAGCACACAAAAAACGAGAAAACGAGCACAGAAAAACACAAGCACACAAACAGACCAGCACACAAGCACACAAACAGACCAGCACACAAGCACACAAACAGACCAGCACACAAGCACACAAACAGACCAGCACACAAGCACACAAACAGACCAGCACACATGCACACAAACAGACCAGCACACAAGCACACAAACAGACCTGCACACATGCACACAAACAGACCAGCTCACAAGCACACAAACAGACCAGCACACATGCACACAAACAGACCAGCACACAAGCACACAAACAGACCAGCACACATGCACACAAACAGACCAGCACACAAGCACACAAACAGACCAGCACACAAGCACACAAACAGACCAGCACACAAGCACACAAACAGACCAGCACACATGCACACAAACAGACCAGCACACAAGCACACAAACAGACCAGCACACAAGCACACAAACAGACCAGCACACAAGCACACAAACAGACCAGCACACAAGCACACAAACAGACCAGCACACAAGCACACAAACAGACCAGCACACATGCACACAAACAGACCAGCACACAAGCACACAAACAGACCAGCACACAAACAGACCAGCACACATGCACACAAACAGACCAGCACACAAGCACACAAACAGACCAGCACACATGCACACAAACAGACCAGCACACAAGCACACAAACAGACCAGCACACAAGCACACAAACAGACCAGCACACATGCACACAAACAGACCAGCACACATGCACACAAACAGACCAGCACACATGCACACAAACAGACCAGCACACATGCACACAAACAGACCAGCACACATGCACACAAACAGACCAGCACACATGCACACAAACAGACCAGCACACATGCACACAAACAGACCAGCACACATGCACACAAACAGACCAGCACACAAGCACACAAACAGACCAGCACACATGCACACAAACAGACTAGCACACAAGCACACAAACAGACCAGCACACAAGCACACAAACAGACCAGCACACAAGCACACAAACAGACCAGCACACAAGCACACAAACAGACCAGCACACAAGCACACAAACAGACCAGCACACAAGCACACAAACAGACCAGCACACATGCACACAAACAGACCAGCACACAAGCACACAAACAGACCTGCACACATGCACACAAACAGACCAGCACACAAGCACACAAACAGACCAGCACACAAGCACACAAACAGACCAGCACACAAGCACACAAACAGACCAGCACACATGCACACAAACAGACCAGCACACAAGCACACAAACAGACCAGCACACATGCACACAAACAGACCAGCACACAAGCACACAAACAGACCAGCACACAAGCACACAAACAGACCAGCACACATGCACACAAACAGACCAGCACACATGCACACAAACAGACCAGCACACATGCACACAAACAGACCAGCACACATGCACACAAACAGACCAGCACACATGCACACAAACAGACCAGCACACAAGCACACAAACAGACCAGCACACATGCACACAAACAGACCAGCACACATGCACACAAACAGACCAGCACACATGCACACAAACAGACCAGCACACATGCACACAAACAGACCAGCACACATGCACACAAACAGACCAGCACACATGCACACAAACAGACCAGCACACATGCACACAAACAGACCAGCACACATGCACACAAACAGACCAGCACACAAGCACACAAACAGACCAGCACACATGCACACAAACAGACTAGCACACAAGCACACAAACAGACCAGCACACAAGCACACAAACAGACCAGCACACAAGCACACAAACAGACCAGCACACAAGCACACAAACAGACCAGCACACATGCACACAAACAGACCAGCACACAAGCACACAAACAGACCAGCACACATGCACACAAACAGACCAGCACACATGCACACAAACAGACCAGCACACAAGCACACAAACAGACCAGCACACATGCACACAAACAGACCAGCACACAAGCACACAAACAGACCAGCACACAAGCACACAAACAGACCAGCACACATGCACACAAACAGACCAGCACACAAGCACACAAACAGACCAGCACACATGCACACAAACAGACCAGCACACATGCACACAAACAGACCAGCACACAAGCACACAAACAGACCAGCACACATGCACACAAACAGACCAGCACACAAGCACACAAACAGACCAGCACACAAGCACACAAACAGACCAGCACACATGCACACAAACAGACCAGCACACAAGCACACAAACAGACCTGCACACAAGCACACAAACAGACCAGCACACAAGCACACAAACAGACCAGCACACAAGCACACAAACAGACCAGCACACATGCACACAAACAGACCAGCACACAAGCACACAAACAGACCAGCACACAAGCACACAAACAGACCAGCACACAAGCACACAAACAGACCAGCACACAAGCACACAAACAGACCAGCACACAAGCACACAAACAGACCAGCACACAAGCACACAAACAGACCAGCACACAAGAACACAAACAGACCAGCACACATGCACACAAACAGACCAGCACACAAGCACACAAACAGACCAGCACACATGCACACAAACAGACCAGCACACATGCACACAAACAGACCTGCACACAAGCACACAAACAGACCAGCACACAAGCACACAAACAGACCAGCACACAAGCACACAAACAGACCAGCACACATGCACACAAACAGACCAGCACACAAGCACACAAACAGACCAGCACACAAGCACACAAACAGACCAGCACACAAGCACACAAACAGACCAGCACACATGCACACAAACAGACCAGCACACATGCACACAAACAGACCAGCACACAAGCACACAAACAGACCAGCACACATGCACACAAACAGACCAGCACACAAGCACACAAACAGACCAGCACACAAGCACACAAACAGACCAGCACACATGCACACAAACAGACCAGCACACAAGCACACAAACAGACCAGCACACATGCACACAAACAGACCACCACACATGCACACAAACAGACCAGCACACAAGCACACAAACAGACCAGCACACATGCACACAAACAGACCAGCACACAAGCACACAAACAGACCAGCACACATGCACACAAACAGACCAGCACACATGCACACAAACAGACCAGCACACAAGCACACAAACAGACCAGCACACAAGCACACAAACAGACCAGCACACAAGCACACAAACAGACCAGCACACATGCACACAAACAGACCAGCACACAAGCACACAAACAGACCAGCACACAAGCACACAAACAGACCAGCACACAAGCACACAAACAGACCAGCACACATGCACACAAACAGACCAGCACACAAGCACACAAACAGACCAGCACACATGCACACAAACAGACCAGCACACAAGCACACAAACAGACCAGCACACAAGCACACAAACAGACCAGCACACATGCACACAAACAGACCAGCACACATGCACACAAACAGACCAGCACACATGCACACAAACAGACCAGCACACATGCACACAAACAGACCAGCACACATGCACACAAACAGACCAGCACACAAACAGACCAGCACACATGCACACAAACAGACCAGCACACATGCACACAAACAGACCAGCACACATGCACACAAACAGACCAGCACACAAGCACACAAACAGACCAGCACACAAGCACATAAACAGACCAGCACACAAGCACACAAACAGACCAGCACACAAGCACACAAACAGACCAGCACACATGCACACAAACAGACCAGCACACAAGCACACAAACAGACCAGCACACATGCACACAAACAGACCAGCACACATGCACACAAACAGACCAGCACACATGCACACAAACAGACCAGCACACAAGCACACAAACAGACCAGCACACATGCACACAAACATACCAGCACACAAGCACACAAACAGACCAGCACACATGCACACAAACAGACCAGCACACATGCACACAAACAGACCAGCACACAAGCACACAAACAGACCAGCACACAAGCACACAAACAGACCAGCACACAAGCACACAAACAGACCAGCACACATGCACACAAACAGACCAGCACACAAGCACACAAACAGACCAGCACACAAGCACACAAACAGACCAGCACACAAGCACACAAACAGACCAGCACACATGCACACAAACAGACCAGCACACAAGCACACAAACAGACCAGTACACAAGCACACAAACAGACCAGCACACATGCACACAAACAGACCAGCACACAAGCACACAAACAGACCAGCACACATGCACACAAACAGACCAGCACACATGCACACAAACAGACCAGCACACATGCACACAAACAGACCAGCACACATGCACACAAACAGACCAGCACACATGCACACAAACAGACCAGCACACAAACAGACCAGCACACATGCACACAAACAGACCAGCACACATGCAC